ATGGTCTATAACAACAGCTACCCGGTGAACTTGGGAACCGTGCTCACGCCAACCCAAGTGCAGAACAAACCGACCTTCCTGAGGTGGCCTTGCCGAGGGGACTCCCTCTACACTCTGGTCTTCCTGGGTGAGTCAGGGATCTATACTTTTGAATGATTTTTGTGTTGGTTTCGGTTATTGCATAGTCTTTAGTTCGAGTAAGCTGGTTTAGCGATAGTGCAAGACGGGTGCTATATTGCGGGGTGCTGTTAGTTATGCTTCACGATACAGCTGTTTGCGAGGTAATGCTCTTATTACCATTATTAGTACTATGTTGGTTATCATTATCTATGTTGCATATACTTATTAGGATATATACACATTCATATGTATACACCCGGAAGTATATAAAAATAAATGAATATGTATATATATCTGTGTGTGTGAGCGCGTGTCTGTGAATATACATTCATATATATATATATATATATATATATATATATATATATATATATGTGTGTGTGTGTGTGTGTGTGTGTGTGTGTGTGTGTGTGTGTGTGTGTGTGCGTATAAACATATATATATATATATATATATATATATATATATATATATGTATATATATATATTTATTTATATCTGTGTGCGTGTCTGTATATATATATATATATATATATATATATATATATACATATATAAATATATATATATATAAAGCGGTCACTGCTGACCTGCCTCCGCCCGTAGACCCGGACGTGCCGAGCCGGGAGAACAGGACGCTGGGCGCCTTCCAGCACTGGCTCGTCGGCAACATCCCCGGCTGCCACGTGAACCGCGGGACGACGCTGACGCAGTTCATCGGCTCCGGCCCGGGAGAAGGATCGGGTGAGGAGCCTAAGCCGAGTGCTGTGGCGATCTAGGGTCTTGTGTGTCAGTTAAATCATCATTATTCTCATTTTTGTTCCATTGTCATTATTGTCCTTGTTATAGTAATAACAAATACTGCTACTGATTTGTTTTTCGTATTTTACACATTTTACCTTTTCTGTTTCTATGTTGGCACTGAGGGACATGTTTTCTGCGATTTTCTCAGGTCTTTATAGCCGCATTCATTGTCATTATTACTTTGTTGTTATTGTTATCATTTCTCATTTAATTATTGTCATCGTTATGATTATCAATATAATTACTATTATTACGTTTATAATTATTTTACTATTATTGTTATTGTTAATAGTACTAGTATTAGTAGTATTAGTGATATCATAATTGTTGTTATAATTATATCATCAGAAATGTGATTATTATTATCAACATTAATATTTTATTATCAGTAATATTTATATCATCATTCTGCTTGAGTTTCATCCGTTCGAAACACGAGCGCGTTTCGCTTGCACCTGAAATTATATTCCATGTGACGGCAGAGTTGAAGTCGCTTCACCTTGATATAAGATACGTACATTACTCCAGAAGACGAAGTTCTTGTGACTAGAAGAGAAGACGCTTCATTCTGATGTAAAATTTACTGTTATTTAACAATATAGATATAATTTCATTCATCATTTCAGGTTTTCACCGTTATACTTACCTGATCTACCTACAGCCTAAGGAAATAGAATTTGATGAGCCTAAAATTAGCAATACTTCAGGTGAGTTGTAATTTCTTTCTTAATTATATTTATTTTCCTAGGGGTAGCAACTACTTCAGTAAAATAGTCCATTGACTCAATCATAACAAATGTGCAGTATGCTCAAAATGAACCTTCTTTGCAGCTCGAATACTGAAAAAAAATACAGGCCATCATAGTTTTTATTAGTTGATTCTAATTATAGAAAGTTATCATATATCATCAATAAGTATATAATCGATACAGAATTTACAATTTAAAGATAGGATCGCTTATGGAGGAAGATCATCCGACAGACCTCCCTGCTCGGTCCTGGACCCATAAAATAAATGTTACTTTCACGGCGATATACTGTTATACCAACCTTAAAACACGGTTCGAGGGGGAGGGATAGATATCAGCGCAATATAGAAGTCGTTGCTCTGCCGCCGTCGTGCCTCCTGATGTGTATAATTTCACTAATTATCTTGAAAATGTGAAGATCAATTAGATGCTCTGGCAGCGTCACGTTAAGCTAGGACGCTGTTCTGGTCTCTTGATCAGCCCTATTAGCAGCAAGGACGTTAAAGCAATTTATCGCTTTAGTTATTTTTGTGCATATTTCTTGTTTTATAGTTGAGCATATTTCTTGTTTTCTTTTAACATCCTAAGCACCTCTTTTTACTTTCAACTTTTTACTGTGTCTTCTGTGAGTGTGTGTGTGTGTGTGTGTGTGTGTGTGTGTGTGTGTGTGTGTGTGTGTGTGTGTGTGTGTGTGTGTGTGTGTGTGTGTGTGTGAATGTTTAATTCCTAATGTAAACTTCCCTCGCACATTAAATACTTAATAAACACACAATAATCTCGCCGTTGTTCCTCAGCCATCGAGCGCCCGTTGTTCAACCTGATGGACT